AACAACAACAACAACCCAAACATACTACATTACTCTGATCTACAGTAAGCAAAATAGTTTTTTCATCCAAACAGCAGCAAAATAATTTTCCTCTTCAGGTTCAACAAAATAGGAAAGACTAACCGTTTTTGCTGGAGCTGCAAGGTTTTCCATTTCTTCATGGGTCACCCAAACATTGCCTGAAGGCTAATGAAGCCCAGCGGGAAGCAGTGGAATCCATGGGAGGTAAGCAGTGGTAAAGAAGAAAGGCAGCGCCACTGTAAGTTAACAGCATCACACCAACACCACAGTGCTCTTGCCTCTACTGCATGCACCAGAGAGACCGCATTGCTGGTTTGCTCATAGCTCCCTTTTTCTTCTACTTAAAAAGATTAAATAGAAATAGGTATGCTGTGAAGCTCATGTGGAGTATATTTAGAATTATATTTATTTCTTTATCAGAAAAAAGGCACAATCAAAATTTGCATTTCAAAGATATACCCTCTTAATCTGTAAAAATGAAAAATTAATTTAACTTGATCTGTAGAAGAACCTATTTTAATTATTTTGTTCTGAAGACAATGGGAAAAATACTTTGTGGTAGCATTACTGTTTTGTAGTATATTTCAATCACATACTGTGGTAGTTAAGTTTGTGTGTCAGCGTGGCTAGGCCTGGTTGAGTGGCTGGGCAGCTGGATGTAGTATTCCCCATGATGAGACTGGTAATCAACTCCATGGTGGAGTCTACTGTGAGCAGCTGAGTAGCTGCCTTAAGGATGTGGTCTGCTTCCTGTATATGATGAGAAGCCTTGGGGAAGAGTTCTAGCTTATGGCATGCTTGAACTCTGCATAGCCATGTTGTTCTTCAGCAGCCTGCCATGCTCTGCCAACCTTGGGACTTTCAATGGACTTGAATTAAAGGCCCGCCATGTAGTTTGGTAACATCCAGATTGTGCCTTTTTATTTGCCAACTTTGGACTTGTCAGTCTCAACAGCCAGTGGCTGGCTGAGTGAAGAAAAGCCTCCAGCTCCAGTGGGCCAGGAGCAGGAGGCAGCATTGAAGCTCAAGGTTGAGGGGCTTTAACCCAGCCCCTAGAGCCTGCCACTTTGAACTCAGATTTAGTGCTTCAATCTTTAAGAGAATAAACTCCTCTAAGTTCAGCCACCCCGTTTGTGGCATTTCTGTTAGAGTGGTACTAGGTAACCAGAATATATACTCTTAATTCTTTAGTGTTCTTGGGGGAAAAAAATCAATTGTCAATACTAAGCTCTCTTCACTACCATGACTTTTCCGAAAACTAATATAAACTTTTCAAATGACTTTCTTTCACTTTGCAATTCAGTAAATATGCTACTTTCCTATACTTCTACAAATGGAAAAGAAGAGAAATGCTATTGTTGATTTAACAAAATTTATTTTTCAGCTTCACTAAATACTTGGTCAGAAATTAAATACTGTGCATTTCCTAATTTTTAGCAGTGTCCTACACAATTATAGACAAGAATATGATATAAACAAACTGTTTTTCTCTAGAGAGACTATTCTGCGATGCAGTCTAATTTGCTTTCTAAATAAAACCACCATTGACACCTACACTTTTTTCCCAGTTTATTTCCACTGAATTAATTTTTTTAAGTAAGCCATTCAAATACTATGTAAAGCAAAAAGTAAAAAAAGTTTGGATTTTGTACAAACACTAAGTTAAAATATTTGGAAAGTCTAGATAAGGGCAAATCTTAAAACACAGTATGAAGGAGACAACTTTATGAATGTCTGAGGAAGAAACTGGGAAAATAAATTTTAAGTGAAAGAAGTTGTAAATGTCCAGAAGGATTTTGCTCTCAAACAGATTTTTCAATATCTTTAAGTTTCCCTTTTAGAAAGAAATCTAAACTAGAAAACTTGAAGTTTTATGGATGGGATTACCAAAGAAATAAATGTGGAACTGCAAGCATTGCAAACATACTAAAAAGAAGTCCTATGTGTTTCATATAAATTGGCAAATGAATGGACATTTAAATAAATTTACTTAAGGGAAAATATTTAAAGGATGTACTTATTATTCTTTAAGATATCTCTGTTTAGAGATGCAAATCAAAACAACAATGAGATACCATCTTGCTCTAACACTAATAACAAAGTTCAACAGGACAGAAAATAACAAATGCTGGCGAGGTAGTGGAGAGATTGGGACTCTCATACACTGCTGGTGGGACTGTAACATGGTACAACCATTGTGGAAAGCAGTATGGCAATTCCTCCAAATGTTGGAATTAGAAATACCATTTGACCCAGCTATTCCATTACTAGGTATATACCCTAAAGAAGTGAGAGCCATGACAAGAACAGATATATGCACACCCATGTTCATCGCAGCACTATTTACAATAGCC